GGAAGGTCACGAACGAAGTAATCATTCATTGTGCTATTCGAATATCAACAAACAAGAGATCGGTTGCCATCTTTATCTTGGTGTCCAATTCGTATCGAATACATTTAAACAGGCTTTACAGTTGCGCCACACATGGTCTAGAAATTCCTACTTTTAAAAATTATGACAGCATCTGCTTTTAGCAAGTTTGATGTTTCTGAATGTTGCATGCTTAGTTTCGAGTAACAAAATGCCTCTTTGGCTAAAAGATTCCATAGAGATGAGTCAATATGTGGTAAGAAGATTATTTGAATGGGACTTTATTGATTCGATTACAAGCCTTCTTGCTAATTTAAAAGCAGCGTCCAGGCAGATCTGGACCTATGGCGCTTTTACGTCGAAAGTACTTTTGGGGCCCTAACTAAAACACTGCCCAAGCGGCAGCTCAGGTAGTGCTTTAATGGCTGAGTTATTCCCCTCGAAACTGGCCCCCGCGAACGTATTTGCATGGATTCATGGCAGTTTCGCGCCAGGATCCACGCTTTGCGCCATGAATCCATGCCATACCTTCGATAGTCTGGAGACAGGGCGTCAAAAGTGAAGGTTGTTTGAACATCTGCCCTCGTAAAAAAGTGAAGGTTGTTATAGAAGATCAGAGAAGAAAAGAATACATAAAACGAATATAAAAAGCAAAAGAAAATGCTCAAAAGCGGACAAAAACGCTGCAATGAGGCTTAAAATCTTTCATTTCGCGGCTTTTCAAAGTGCAAGTTTTCGCTTCAGGACCAGCAATTCGCAATACGGGGTTTTGATTTTTGATGCGTCCTTTGAATTTTTACCCCCTCATTGACGCTCCTGTTTCCTGGGACGTTGTCTGGATTGTTGCGCTTATTGTTCTGAGCAACAATCGCCCAAGCTGGAAAAAAATCGATGCGAAAACACAGGAATAGAACAAGGTAAAGAAAAACGCACTTTTTACGATTTTTCGCAAAAAATTCCACAATAATCGAAGAGATAAAGGCTGGGTGGTTGTCTGCATTATGAATAGAAGCAAGATCTATAGAATGCACGAAAAAACCGCGTGAAAATAGCTAACCTACGAGAAAAACAAGAGATTTTCGAAAACAACGTTTTTGCCGGATTTCTCGCTCAAATCAATAAATGTGCTTCTGGGACGTTGTCAGCGTGAAAATAGAGATCAAGAGCTTCATTTTGATGTATAGCTTGCTAAAATTGGGTTCGAAACAGCGAAGAAAAGGGTACCAGAGCCAAATGCCCCGCGCCCCGCGTTTGGGGTAGCGAGGTAGCGCGCAACGCGCGGAGACGCAGACGAGCAGCGGAGACAGACCAGAGCCGACGGGGCATTTGGCTCTGGTCGTAGATCTCCGTGGGGTCTCGACGAAACCCCGCAACATTATATATCATTCTGATCGCCATGACACGACGACGAGAACTGACAACGTCCCAAGCTTTGAAAATCACTCATTAATAAGATAGACCTGCGTTTTCGTGCGCGACTCTCTCCGCAAGATTTAAGCGCAGTTTCTCGTACTTATTTGGCTCCAATAGCTTTCCTAAACTTCCGAAACTCAATTTTGTTCAAATGAGAGATTAACTAAGAAATTTTGTTCTGAATTCTGGCGAAAATCCCACAGAAACCTTTTTAAAGGTAAAAAAAGGCTATAAAAACGCAAATTCTCGATTTCGCTGAGATAAGCTAGAGATATTATTCGCTATATTTGCTTCATTAACATTCGTTCCGATATACCAGGATAATAACATCCAGGGCGAAGCCCCGGATGACTTCTGCTTTTTCCAGGTGAAGGTTATGTTTCCTCATAGCCCTCAAAATGAAGGTTACCGGAGTACGTGGCTCTATGTATCGAGGGTATGATCCATGCGAAACACGGTCGCGGGGTCCAGTTTCGAGGGGAATATCTCAGCCATTACAGCACTACTTGAGCTGTCGCTTGGGCAGTGTAGTTAGGGCCCCAAAAGTACTTTCCACGTAAAAGCCCCATGGGTCCAGATCTGCCTGGACGCTGCCTTTAAGTAAATATAGTATACACATGATCTCTCATACATAGTAACGATGTACTCTAATTTCACGTACAAGAGGCGGGGAATTTTCTCTAAAATCGATCAACTCAAACTCGCTAAACGCCTTTGCAAACAAATCTTCCTGTAGTGTACTGTAGACTGTTCAAGGGAATCATGCGTATAAGGATTTCTTCCCGAAAAACAATGGACTGAGCGGCCCGCTTGAAAATTTGATAAAGATGCGCCTTATACGCGTGTGTAGGATAATGGCTCTACAGTAAAAGAAATTGGACTCGGAAATATTGATCAAGATTACCGTTTTTTCGTATTGATCATATCCGACTGTGCATGACGTAAATCGTTACAATCCAAAAAATCGACAAGATTCATCAAGTCAGAGGACTCAAGCAATTAAAGAAGCATTTCATTCATATAATAAAATAGATTCGCCTAATTAGAACAGGTGCCCACAGTGGGGCAATACATACGGGCCTGCAAAGGTTTTCCGAAACACAGTGAAGCGGCTGCTTCAAATAAAGAAATTCCTCAATACTGGTAGACTTCCTCTGAGATAGCGTTGCATGTCTTCTGGTGTGGATACACCAGTTGGGTTTCTGCCTCGGACCCGGCTTGAAATCCTGCCGAACTAGATAGTATGTTGCACTTTCTCTTGACCAGCAACCAGACTGTAAAACTTCATGACTAGCAATTCTAGGTACTCTTGCTGGACTAAACTTCTACGTGCTGCTGCTGAAGTAATCGTTTAAGCTTGCAATCCTGAAAGATTAAAAATTTAACCAATATCTTAGTTTGGTTAAATAACTTCGGTTGCTCTTGCGGCTTTTGCTGCAGACAAGTTGAACATTGTTTGCTTCCTCTGGACAGAGCAATTTAACGAGAATTGGAATGCGAATTTTGTTTGAGTAGAATCTATCTTATATATAAAGCTGAATGTCTGTTTGTCTGTATGTATGTACGTATGTGTGTACGTATGTTCCGAATAGAAAATTCCATTTCTGAACCGATCCGGACCAAACTTGGCACACATACACTTCGGGCCCCGGCGGGTGTCATAGGCTACTTTTCGTCATCGATCGATATCGATTTTATCGATTTTTATCGATTTTTTTGCTGAGTTCACCTACGGGGCTGGGAGTTGGCACAGGGGGGTAATCGAGCATGGGGATTCCGAATACAATATTGGTTTTCAGGATTATCGATTACTTTTATCGATTTTATCGATTTTTTTGCAAAGTTTGAGCTACGGGGCTGGGAGTTGGCACAGGGGGGTAATCGAGCATGGGGATTCCGAATACATTATTGGTTTTCAGGATTATCGATTACTTTTATCGATTTTATCGATTTTTTGCAAAGTTTGAGCTACGGGGCTGGGAGTTCGCACAGGGGGGTAATCGAGCATGGGGATTCCGAATACAATATTGGTTTTCGGGATTATTGATTACTTTTATCGATTTTATCGATTTTTTTGCAAAGTTTGAGCTAGGGGGCTGGGAGTTGGCACAGGGGGGTAATCGAGCATGCTGATCATCCCCAAGGGGGGTGATCAGCATGCTCGATTACACCCCTCTGCCAAATTCCAGCCCCCTAGCTCAAACTTTCAAAAATCGATAAAATCGATAAAAGTAATGGATGATCTTGAAAACTAATATTGTATTCGTAATCTGCATGCTCGATTACCCCCTGTGCAAACTCCCAGCCCCGCAGGTCAAACTTTACAAAAGAAATCGATAAAATCGATAAAAGTAATGGACGATCTT